TGATGCTCATGATGCTGGCCGCTTACGTGCCATGGGTGCAACGCGCACCCAACTGATGCTCATGATGCTGGCCGGTTGGTGGCTTTTAGTCCCAAGCACGTCCAGCTGATGCTCATGATGCTCGCCGCTTGGGCGCCATGGGTCCAAAGCGCACTCAACTGATGCTCATGATGCTGGCCGGTTGGTGGCTTTTAGTCCCAAGCCATGGGTCCAAAGCGCACCCAAGTGACGCTCATGATGCTGGCCGATTGGTGGCCTTTCCTTCATGGCACGTCCAGCTGATGCTCATGATGCTGGCCGCTTGGGCGCCATGGATCCAAAGCGCACTCAACTGATGCTCATGATGCTGGCCGCTTGGTGGCTTTTAGTCCCAAGCACGTCCAGCTGATGCTCATGATGCTGGCCGCTTGGGCGCCATGGGTCCAAAGCGCACTCAACTGATGCTCATGATGCTGGCCGGTTGGTGGCTTTTAGTCCCAAGCACGTCCAGCTGATGCTCATGATGCTGGCCGCTTGGGCGCCATGGGTCCAAAGCGCACCCAAGTGACGCTCATGATGCTGGCCGATTGGTGGCCTTTCCTCCATGGCACGTCCAGCTGATGCTCATGATGCTGGCCGCTTGGGCGCCATGGGTCCAAAGCGCACCCTGGTGCTCGCGATGCTGGTCGGTTGGTGGCTTTTCGTCCCAAGCACGTCCAGCTGATGCTTATGATGCTAGCCGCTGGGGGGAGGTGGGGAAAGGATTAGATTTGTGGAGGCAGGCATGGGGTGCCTTTGCGGCTACGACTTAGAGACCTCAGGCTTCGTGTCTCCTTGGCTGCTGTCAAAGGAACTCTCTATTGTATGCAACGCAAAAGCCTAAATCATTGGAAGCGGGGTTTCGGGTTATATGATACTAGAACTAGAATCATAAAAGGGTGTGTTGGCGATTTATTGCGACTTCCAGTATCCCTCGTACGAGCCCTGTGACAAACCTCACCAACAGTGGGTGAGACCCGAATTGTCTACTCAGAGGCAATCTTCTTGTGGCTTCTTCCCTACGCCTCCTAAGATTCAGAAAAACTTGGACTAAAGCCACACAAGCTCTACTGCATTCTGATGATGTCTTGCATTATAGCTCCTAGATCATGCCTATGCATGAACACTGAATACAAACCTTCCAACATTTGAAACATGGAAGGTTGGCATGGTGCTTTCTTGCGCTAACTCCTGGAATCTCTAGCTCCTCAGATCCTTCGCCCTTGGTACTTCCTATGCACCCTACAATCCCTATCAAATCTATTCTTGCGGAAACATATCGCTCTGCCTCATATAATCCGGACATATTCCCATATATAACCTTTATAGGCCAGTACCCTACACACAAAACCCACAGCCTCCAGGGTGCTTCCTCCGCTTGTACAGTCCGTGGAAGAAGTGGACGAAATTGTCTGCCTGCAGGTTTATTCCCTGCGGTTCTGTGGAGGCGGTTCTCAAACAAAAGGTGTGGTCAGGAAATTCGGAGGGTCGCATTTGGAGATCAGTTGGAAAGGGAAGAAGGGCAAATCATGAACCAAATCTTAACACAGCCATCTGGTAATTGGGACTTGCCATGGCAACAGAAGACATACAAAGACTGGACCCTAAACACTTTGCCCTAAGCCAGGCAACTGGCAACATAATTAAATTCGAAATACATGCCCGTGCATGTGTCTTTCGGCATGACTGCGCACAGATTACAAGGGTGTGCCTCACAATGTTCCAACCATGTGCTGATAAGCTTCTGTGAAACACGGCGCCCATGACAAACAGAAACGCCTGTCTTCCGCTACGACTTCTAAGACCTCCAAGCCCCTCCGCATAAGCCCTCAGGTGCAGGGGACCTAAATAATGGAATTGGGGTTGGAGTCTATGATACAACATGCTATTGGCTACAAGAGTATAACATTAGTGGTTATTCATGCTTCTGCATTACAACCCGTATAAACCGCTACGCAAGCTGAGTTGTCATTGCCATGCATGTTCCGTGCGGTTATCAACTTGGTCCTCAAGTATTCAAAACCTACACCCTGAACCCTGTATACCCTTGTATGCCTCTGCCTCTATATAATCTTATAGAATCATAGAACTCAAGAAACCCCGTATTACAGACCCCTCCTCAATCCTATACAACCCCAACTTTTTGCATTATCGACAAAGCTTTGCGGCCTCCCCCTCAGGCACTGCAGACAGCTCATCCTCAGCAGGAGAGCGCGCGCATGCTCAAGATGCTTGGATTGTTGGGTCCAGGGTTTAGGTTGGAATTTATGGTCTAGGGTTCAGGTGCGGGTTCAACTTGTTGTTTCTAAGCGGCCCTGCTCTCTGCCTGTCCGGCAAGTTTCGGGCTTCGGGACTTGGGTTTAGCACCTGTGTACCGAGCCCGCGTGGGAACATGATTGAAACAAAAGGAGCGATGTTGTCGGGATCCGGCAAGAATATGGCAGCTCAGAACTTATGGCAAATGCCCCTGGTTGTTCAGTGGGGCTATGGCTTCCTCCTGGTCATGCCTGCTTCTTTGCAGAGGACTTCCGGCCCAAATGCCAGCATGTACTCACTCAGGCGACTGACGCGCCATTATTGGGGCTTTAAGCTGCAAACCTGTGCTTGAAGCTCATGCAGAACGCAAGCAAGGTGCACCACAGCCACCAGGGCTTGGCACCGCCACATCCACCGCCACCGCCTCCGCCACCGCCACTGCCACCGCCACCACCGTCACCGCCACCGCCACCGCCACCACCGCCGCCGCCGCCGCCGCCACCACCACCACCATCACCACCACCTCTGCCTCCACAACCATCACCACCACCTCTGCCTCCGCAACCATCACCACCACCATCACTATCATCACCGCCACCACCCTCAGCATTACAACCACTTCTGCCAGTCTCTTCTCCTTCTTGCTGCTGCTAGTATTCTCCTCATGCAACTGGCAGCAGCCTGCAACAAACACCTTGGATGCATGTGAGTGGCAGCGCTCATGCTGCGCAGCCGCTGTATCCTGCACAGGACGTGTTCAGTTCACGAACAGTTTTGGGTTGGGGTGTCAAGTCTAGGGCTCCGTTTTGGACTGAGGTTCCCTGTCTACCGGACCTGCTGGCTGGCCTCAGAAGAAACTAACCATGATAGGCCATATATGGGACTGCTGAGGCACCAAAAATGTAAATGTACATTCTCAACCACTATGACTGCGGATCTGTTGTCTGGGTGAATTCCTGGAGCATAGAAGCAATGATCCGAGCAAGCCCCCTGCCCAATTTATTGAACGAGACATCCTGCAAGAATGAAAAGGACGAACAACCAAGTATGTGGGAGCCCCGTATTCCTTTCATTGGAGTGCCCGTGTGTGCTCTGAACAGTTGGGACGAGTTTTCGGGTATATATAGGCCATCCTCATTCGCCTTCAAAGTTTTCCACTGTTAGGCCTGCTTCAGGGTTCTGAAATTGAGGATCCAGCTTTGCTGTTCGTAACTGGCTTCAGAATAATTGCGCTGGCTGCTTCAGTCTCTGGTTGGGGTCTCCCCAATCGTGACGCATCAAGCAGACGCGGTGAAAATCCATATCACTCTACCGCATTGCAAACAGGATCGTCTCTTGGGAATTTGTATACTACATGGACAGCTGCGCACAGCGCGATCAAGTCAAAAAGCCATAGGATGGTCTTCTTCTACACTGCTAAAGAAGGATTGACAGAGGGCCGGCCAAGGATTCTGTTCAATCAGCACACTGGGGTTTGTACAGGGACTCGCGGCTCTCAATCAGATACTCTCAGGGACTCTTCACGCTTCATTTGGAGTGCACGGGGGAGTGAGCCAGAGTTAGGAGTGCTATGTTCACCTGTGCAATGGAAACTGCTTTCTCTTTTTTCTGTACTTGTATTCTGAAATCGCCGCCTGAGTGTGGTCAAGCATTGCCTGACAACCAGTCAGGGGTCAGAAGCCCAATGTTGCCGTAGACAAGCAGTGGAGAAGCCGAGTGAGACGCCACAGAATACTCCCTGAAGCAAAGTAAACGAAAGAGAGAGCACCTTCGTTGCAAGCCCGAGCAGCGCCAAGACTAGCCTACCATCCGACTAGCAACCCATCTGAAATCATGTGCGCCTCCAAGTATCCACATTACATCCCCGGCAGAAGAGCGGTCTTCGTGGGGCTTCTTTTGGGGTTCCATGCTTGAAGGTACCATAGTCCGCCAAAAGCCTACTTGCCTACATGCTCTTCGAGCTTGAGATTGACTCAGATTGACACCAGGTCCATAATTAATGATCTTTCGTGACTCAACACAATAGAGAATGTTCTTCACAAATACTACAACCGAAAAGAAGATATAACCCTACCCCATGTTGGGGACAAATTTGTATCCCCATAAAAATAGGATCCAGCTGCGCCTTCGGATGTCATCCGCGAGCTGCCAGATCACACCCTTGCATGATTGCAAGGCAGCGGAAGCATGTTCGGGGTTATATTGGTGCTATATTGGGATAATGGCAAAGAGAATGGAAATTATAGGGGTTATGTGAACTTACTATGGGGATGTAGGCTCTTGCGGTTTGGGAAACTTAGTGGTGTGGGATGTGGGCTTTTGTGGTTGGCATTTAGGGAGCCGGCAGCGGCCCAAGTAATCGGGTAGATGTTTTAGGGTTTAGGGTTTAGGGTGCAAGCATAATCCTGGACTATCCCTGAACAGCGGTCGTAATAGTCAGAGCTCAAATGGCAGTTTCTTTAAATGGGGGGCCCTTAATGCGGACTCCAATATTCCATAATCCTCATTGCAGGGACGACCAAAGAATGGCCCACCCTAAACCCTAAACCCCGTATAACCCATGATAGAAGTTTCCCTTTTTCTATTATCCCCATATAACCCCAATATAACCCCAATATAACCCCAATATAACCCCAATATAACCCCAATATTACCACTATTACTTTTAGACACCCCAAACAAGGTGCGGGCCCTGGAGAGGCTGGCATGGTTGGCAGCCCCCCGCTCCTGCTCTCGAATTTAATAGTGGTAATATTAGGGGTTACATTGGGGTTATATGGGGATAATGGAAAAGAAAATGGAAACTACATGGATTATAGGGATTCTATAGGATTTATATAGGGATTATAGGGTATATATTGGGGTTATATGGGGATAATGGAAAAGAAAATGGAAACTACTATCATGGGTTATACGGGGTTTATGGTTTAAGAATTGGGAACAGCATGATGGCTCTCAAGCTTACTGGTTGTTAGTAGGGAATAAGGGATTACAATTATATAGTCCATATATAATGTTGTTTAGGGCTTAGGGATTAGTAGGGAATAAGGGAGTAGAATTGCATAATCCCTATATAATGTGTCCCCCTATTCCCTACTAACCATCAGCAAGCAACAATTGGGGAATCTCTTTGCGCCGTAGAAAAAAAAACTCCGGCATGTGCTTCACGCAAAAAGGAGACGACTCCAATCAGCCAAAACGATGGAATGAAAGCGTCACATAAGGCAATCCTGAGAGATAACGGTCATCAATACCTTATTTGCACGAAGCATGAAAATCTGTGGCAGTCAGAATACAGATAATGCTTGAAGTCACTCACATTACATACTACCACGACGGCCGCCAAAGAAAAAAGAAGGCTGATCTGCTGGCAGCATGACAACCTCCCAAACAACTCCATGTGGAGGTCCCTAGGGACCCCGGGAGTCATTTCAGAATTGGAGCCCCATTCAGAATTATATGGAGATGAGTTTGACGAATTCATGTTTGACAACATCAGCGAATCAGATCATACGTCCCAGGACAGGAAATAAATCCCAAAATGTCCTAAATCATTCACTATATGCTGATGACTCAAAGGCTCAACAGAAGAACTCTCAGAATGCGCCGATATGATTAAGGTAGCGATCTCCGCTACCTCCACGGTAACTGATAGGATCCTTCTTGCGGATATGGGTCAAGAGTGAAGTCCCTTCTACCTACCCCCCAGCAAAACCCTTCTAATTCGGATTTTCACAGCACGACTTTGACCAATCCCCCAAAATGCGAGGATCTTCCAAAAGAAACCACATCCGCGAGGTGAATCGAGGCTTGGGGGGGGGGGGGGGGNNGGGGGTTCTCAAACAGCAGCGCTTCCCCCTACATACCACCCGAAAGTGGAATCCGGGAAGAAACTCATAGAAGAATCCATAGTTTGGAGCAACGCGAGATACTTCCTTGTGACAGAGACCTTGGAGCTACAGTCCTGGAAATGCAGCTCCAGCAGGTGGTTGTAAGCTTGTTGGTCACCTGGCTGGGGAAAGAGGGCCCAATATGAATTAACGAATATACCCTGATGATACTACACTACACCCCAATGTGATGCAAGGTATAGTACTCCTTGTTCTGGGATGCTGCGGTGGTATGACCCTAGGTTTCCTCAGATGTGACAGGGTCTTCAAAGGGTTCGCTCTATATGAAGGTTTCCACAACACAGGGAAGAACTCTTCTGCGAAGTGCCTCTGTCATCATCTGTACGGCCCTAATGAATCCAATACTCACTGTTCAAGAAAACTTAATCGTTGAAGCAACCCTCGGCGGGACAGACTGGGCAATTTTGACTAGAAAAAATGTTGTTGCTGCTGCTGCTGTCCTATATCTTTCTCAACTGAAGCCCTGTGCTTGAGAAAGCACAAGCGCTCCAGATCCTGCATCATCCCTGAAAGGGGCCCTAGAAACCCCATATTGTGCCCATTTTCCCCTCGGGTTCCAACTCCTATCACCATGTTGCTTCAGCTGTAATGAGGCTGATATAATGTGTTTTGGAGGCCCCCTGAAGAGGATCAGGCAGCAGAATGCAGACCATCTCCTTTGATTCAACCCCCAATCCCCCCAGTCCTTAGAAGTGCCCTTCTGTTGGGGGGAGCCCCAAAGACAAAGAGTCCAACATTAGATCTTAATGGGGGCTTTGGCAATTGGAGGCCCCACTGTAGACCCCAACATACTCTAATCCTTGCTATGAGTACTCCACAACGTGTCCCTAATTTCCGGAAACCCCCAAATCTGTGCAGGGCCGGCGGTCCACGCCGTCCTTCGCTGCCCTTTGCTCGCCAGCGAGCCTCTGAAGCAAACTTGCCGCCGAGCCTCCGGTAGAAATTCAGCTTCCAGGGAAGTGTGGGGGTCCGAATGTACCTATTGGGGGTCCCTATAATGAGGATTATAATATTTTGGGGTCTATATTGTGGTCCCCTGCTTAGGGAGTTTTTGGAATCATTCTGAGGAATACGCTCTTCTGATTAGGCTTCAGCACTTTGGCGCACTTTGGCTTCACAGTTTAGGGGTTGAGGGCTTTTGTATAAATGGGTGGTTTGGGGTTGGGGTTTGACATTTATGGTTCAGGATCGAAAATGGTTTAGGATTTCTGCAGGCTCGGATTTTGGGACAACTTTAGGATTTAAAAGAGGCTCTGAGTCTCGGGAGGGTTGGTTCAAGGGATGTAGGTTTAAGGCTTCGCATCTAGGCTTCCGCATCTCAAGTCACGTCGCTGATCTCGAAACTGAGAGGATTTTCGTAAGGTTTTGGACGGACCGTTTCTCAAGTCTCTCATTTGAGCCATGTCTAAACTCCTAGCATCCCCCTCAGTAACCCCCTTGTACTCCCCAATATAATTCCCTGTATAACCCCCTTTGAGGAGTTTAGACTATAGCTCATTTAATGCGGAGATGAGATGAGCTGATCTTAATGCTGATCTTGTATAGCTTCTTGGGTTCATAGCAGTGGCTTCAAATGGTTGAGGCCTGCTGAACAAACTTCTTGCTCACTATACCAACAGGATGGTTCGAAGGTAGCTTGTTTCCGCATCTGATCTTCATGGCTTGGTGAGCTTGTAAAGACTCTTCTTGATGCGCGGGTCTCAACACATCCTAAGTGAGCTACTGCCTAAACTCCCAGCATCCCCACTCATAACCCCTATAGTAGTCCCCTATAGAATCCCCTATATATGCATAGTGGTCCCCTATAGAATCCCCTATATAGCCCCCCTTTAAGGAGTTTAGACTATACCTCAAGTCCAGCCATCCCGCGGCAGAGCCTGGATCCGCGGCCAGCTTCCCTTTCACCTCTTCACCTCAGTAAATGAAAGGGCAAATTATCAACAAAACAATATAGTCCCCCTTACGTAGATAGAATATGGGGTATGTGGGGATCTTATTATAATATGCCCAAAGCCAGGGGACTATAACCCAGAGAGCCCAATACCCCGCTAGTTAAGGAATATACACGAAATGGTACTAGGGTCCCTATTATGATTTAAGCCATATCCCTTAATTAAGGGGTATTGGGCTCCTTGAGAACATGGGAGGGTGATTCAACATCAATTGAAGTGTAGTACTGTGTAGCTATGGTATACAGGCTATGCCGGAATATTGGGCTTTGTACTCACAAGTATCCACGTCAAGGAGCCCAACGCGGTCTAGGGGCCAAAACACAAAGAAATTTGACGTATAGATATCCATATACACAGATTGTTAGGAATGCTATTGGTAATTATTCAAGCTTCTACTCTCACCTCAATACTTGCTTACGGGGGTCCCATTAGGATTGCTGTGAGGGTGGATTCGAAGAAGCACTATATCTGTGAGGAAACAAGTGCTTCTAGGTTCCCACGCACCACTCTTGGCAAAAGGGACCCCGGCCCCTGAATCACACACCTCGGCAGTAGTGAACCTGCCTCTCGGTCACTCTCCCTTACCCAACCACAACCTAATCTTCCCGCACTGCACTTCCGCTTCGCTTGTTACACAGGCATGCGCCAAGGGGCTTCAAAAATTAGAGTTCATCGCATTTAAGAAGGATTGTCATGTATGTTGCATTTCAAGATGAGACCTCATCTACGGAAACTAGCCACTTGGCGTTCTTAAGGCCCCAACTTGAAACCCTCAACCCTAAAACCTGCAATAGTGTCCATTTCCTCCACATTCTCACTTAAGCACCAGTAGGCCTCAGCAAGCTACGCATGCTGAAGCAGCAGGCCCCACTGAGCAGAGGGCCTCGCTGGCCCCCCCCAACCTGATCTGAGGTTTAGTGGGGTTAAATAGGGGCTATATAGGGTATATATTTGGGTTTTACATTCGAAGAATGGAAAAGAAAATGGAAACTACTACATTATAATATCAGGTGTTAGGAAAGGTTTTGGGCGATTGCCCCAGCAATGGAAATCAAATGAAAATAACGAATAGAGCTACGCCATCTAGGGATGTGGAACCTGATTCGAGGTTTAGTTAATTCAGCATCAAATGAAAAATCAAAATGGACACCTGGGAATTTGTAGGACCCTAAACCCTAAACCCTAAACCCTATGTTGGCTTGAATCAGGTGTGCCCTGCATGGGTCAAAGGACTGTGCGGGTACTCACTGGACCAAACAATGACTGAGGGTCTACTTTTGCAAGTCGTAAAACTTCAAATCCATAAAACCTGCCCAAATTTCTGAGAGCCTACCCTAAACCCTAAACCCTGTTAATAGCCATCAAAACTGCCAAAGTTTCAACTCTCGCAACTTCCATGAACCAGCAGAGCCAACAGAACTTTGAGCCAACTTTTGCATGCGCAAAGCAAGCCTGAAAGACAATATAGGGGATAATGGCAAAACATGGAGACTACTATGTAATTTTGGGGTTATATAGGGGAGAATGGATAGGATAAGAGAATGGAAGTTGTTGCATTACAAAAGGGTATACATTAGGGTTATAGGTTGGCTATGAAGAGTCTATAATGGGGGTTATAAATATATATTGATGGATATCCAACTGTTAATGCGTAGGGGCAGTACGAAAAGAAGGCTCATCAACAACTAGACGAGGACTCGGGATCAGGAGAGCGTGCTTCCACTGCAGGTGATATTTCTACTGTGAAACCTCGTTGCAATTTTCATCTAACCTCCTCCAAGCACCTTGCCGGGTTCCACGGCTTAGGGTTTAGCAATCCGGGAGTCCTGGACAGGAAAACTAATGCTCGATAGATAGTCCGAGGTGGCTGATTCATTCATCGCACCAAACCGAAAGCAAACACTGCCCTCAACACCAACGGCCCCAAATTTTTGACCCAGACTCCAAGCCTTCAAAACTGTGAAGATGCCAGAATGCTGGAAATCCTGCCATCTGAATTCTAAAGCGTAGCTTGCCTAAAGAGCAATCAAACACACCCTAAACACTGGGCCCTGAAAAGCCTGAATTCAAAATGGTTTTGAAACGCCGGCAACCCAAACTGTAGCCCTAAAGCACAACCATAAACCTTCCACCCCCACCTAAACCCTAAACCCCCCTAATCTCTAAGACTCTCAAGACAAGAACCTTACGCACCAAATCCCTGAATCCTCAACTTCTGGATTGCAGGGGTCAAATCCCTACACTCTAGACAGGGTTTAGAGCTTCGGCCTTCATATCCTGATACCTGCCCTATATAATAAATATTGTTCAATTGTTACAGAGTGGGAGCCGTACCCCTGGCCCTAACCCCTAAACCCTAACCTTTCGCATCCCAGCGGCCAGGGTTGAAGCGAAGCGCTGGACTTCCTGCAGGTCCTGTGCGCCAGAGGTTCAGGCTTAGTAGGGTTTAGGGTTCAGGGTTTAGGGTTTGGGGGGTAGATTCAGGGGCCCTGTAAAACGATGTTTATTCTCGGTTGTATAAGGATATATATGGCTTATGACCTTTCTCCGAAGTTCCCCAGTCTAGACTTTTAGGGCTTGGGGCTTGAGGGCCTAGAGCTTTTGGTTTGCGGGTTTCAGGGTTTGGGGTTTTAGGATTTGAGGTCCTGGCGTTTGGGAAGATTTTGGGGTCGAGGTTTCAGGGTTTGAGGTTTAAGGGTTCGGTTTCCGAGTTTGTGGGTTTGGGGTTGCAGGATTTGAGAGTTGAAGGAGTAGCGGGTCGGGGTTCCCCGGTTTGATTTTCCTTGCATAGCGGTCGCAAGGAAATCAACATTGGGATTCAGGGACAGCTGTCTGAGTTACTTACTGAGTCTTAGTAGGGGATAAGGGAACATAGTATATAGGGGTTATATAGGGATTACATTCCCTTATTCCCTACTAAGTACCAGTCAGATTACGGTCTGCGTTTAGGGTCTCAAGACATAGCCGGATGCCGCTACAGGACCTCAAGCTGCAGGTTCCGTACGTTGACACGTATGATTCAAGCTTTCCCCTAAGTGAGAGATGGGATGGCGTGCGCATATTCGGGTCCCCGGGTCTAAGTCTTTGGAATATGCAAGGCTTAGACTTAAGTAAGGGTTTAACCCTCTTGTCCTAATCCTCTCCGGGTGCCATGACTAGTGGACCCTTCAAGATTATTAGACTACGCCACCCTCAAGCCTTGTCCGGAGTACGTAGTGCAGAGAGCCGCGAATCCATCCATGTGTAACCCTAAACCTGAAACCCTAAACCAGTAACCCTATGAAACCCTAAACCCTAAACCAGTAACCCTATGAACGAGAAGCCTTAAACCAGCGACGGTTCTCCTGCGGTTCGGGCTCCAGAAAACCAAAGGACTTCACGGCCTCCTGGTTTAGGGTTCACCCAGTAACCAGGGAGCCCAATATCCCTTAAGGAACATAGCCTAAATCATAATTAAGAAGAACCGCAATACCCTTTACGGAATATTCCTTAACTAGGGGGGTAGTGGGCTCTCTGGGTAAGCTCAAAGAATTCGGGTTTGGGGTTTGGGGGCTCAGGGTGTAGTTCCCATGTTTTCAGCAGGGTGGTCCAAGGAGGCTAGGTGACCTCTGATCCCCGATGCTTCCTAGGTCTCCCAACCCCTAAACCCTAAACCCTCAACCGCTTGAAAGGCTAGGGCTTACTTCTGGGGATTTCGTTTTACTTGAACTGAAAAGCAATGGACGGCAATAGATTTTCGGTCACAATGCTGGTGACTGTGGCAGTGGAGTGCTTCAGCCAAGCTTATAAAAGCCTTACATTACAACTGGAAGCATAAACCCTGTATCCGGACTTTGTGCCTCTGTTCTTCGGAAACTTCATGCTTTAATGGCGGGTTTGGTGTAAGGTTTGCCGAAACAAAGACCAGATAAGGACCTCAGGACCACTCCCACAGCTAAGCGTGGTATGCGGTTTATGTCTGGATAGGAGTACTAAGATCTGAACACAGGGAACATGAGAAAGGGTTCCAGATTGCCAAAGGCATGCCTATCAGCATGCCGAAGCCCTAGGGGCCCGTCTTGATTATGATCCACACTCTTCGGTGAGTCCCAGGCGGCTGTAGGATCTGCGGCTGCTGCGCTCAGCCTTGCTTGAAGGATTTGGTTCTCATCCTACTTGAGGTGGGGAGCTGACAAATGGACAGGGAGAGAAAAGGCTCAGTCTGGACACCCTTCCCGAGAGGAGTTGGTGCGCGATGAAACGAAGGTAACTAGTGAAACTCGGCACGGAAGTCGGCGGGGAAAGGAACGGGGTGGGGTGGCGGGGGGGAGACAAATACTTTGAAAAAGGAAAGGCTTTTCAGTTGCATCAGGAAACCTCTACCAGGAAAAGCATAAAGGCTCTATAGACTCTAGAGGCTTGACCCAGTTTAGCGCTTCTTTGAAACAGCAGCAAGCCAAAGGCCGGAGATGTCAGCCAAGCCACTCCAGGCGCATGTGTTGCTCCTGAAATCTGTGAAGGAGCGTTTTATGGGTATGTTCTGGGATCCATGTGCCTTCCGGCAGTGTGAGGTACATGCGCTTGCGCGGCTCTGAAGGATCACCGCTTGTTTACAATGCTGTAACTTAGATGAAAGGATTTCTACTTGCTACATGCGCAGAAGGAATCTGCACGAATGTGTGTCGCACGTGTGTCGTGCGAAGCCATGCGCACAGCTGCTACCTCGTCTCCGGGACCACAACAGCATTCGTAGTCATCACTCACCCGTGCTATCAGCTCATGATGGCACAACCACTTGATGCAAGGGCTGTTGCAGCTCTGAATGCCTTTTCGTGCTACAATGCACCCATGTGACCCGAATAGTAAATCCACAGAATTCATTTCTAGCATTCGGCCCAAAGGGAGCCTTGCTGCATTCGCCGACAAATGTCATGGTGGCGCTGCCCGATTGCAAATTGTGCTTCTGCAAATGCATCGTTCTGCATAAATCCCTGGCTGAGCTCACAATCTGATATGGACGACCCTAGATGTGTCCAAGGAGCCCTTTGAATTGCCAGCTAGGGTTTGTGGGCCACCCTAGTAACCCCAAACAATGCGTCGGCACTCCTGTACAACTGGTGGCGCCTTGCTCTATGCCTCATTGCTTTCTCGCATGTGGCAGCTTCCGAAAATGAGCGCGCCCCAGTATAGACCCCCAAAAATTATCATCCTCATCATAGGGAGCCCCAAAGAGGTACCCTTAATTTTAAGCACGCAAGGCGAAAGAAACCTGTCGGAATCCTTTTCATACCCCCACGACACACCCCTAAACCTTAAACCCCTACACCCTAGATCCTGATAGCAGCAAGAGCATTGGTAGTAATGGTAATAATAACAGTCATAGTAATCAAAGAAGCCATAATACTAATTCTTTTTAATATTAGTAATAGTAGTACTAATAAGAATTATAAGAAAATAGAAGTAATGGCAGCAATAAAAGGAAACAAATACGTTAATCCAAACCGCGATCTCTCCTAGGGCAGGGTCCTCCTCATTGCGGAGCGCGCCCACGAACAGGACAGCCGCTAACAGCCATGTGGTGCAAAGGTCGATTTGCCTGAGCTAGATAGGTATATAGTTCCCCTTTAAGTAGATAGTGGGTATATTATGATAAGACCCCCATATACCCCATGTTCTATCTACTTAAGAGGGACTATAGGGGTTTAGGGTGGAGGGGTTTAGGGTTTACTGCCTTGTGCCTTAGGTCTGAGCTTTGAACCCCCTTACTTGTGAGAGTGGACCATGCCAAGGAACTGAGCGAGGACATACTCAGTAGTGAAAAAGCATTTGGGTTTAGGGTTTAAGGTTTTAGGGTTAGGGTTTAGGGTGGCGATATTAGTGATAGTACGAATACTGTTGGTAATATCAGTAGCACCAACAGTACCAGTTCATAACAATAATTGATGACCACCACTTAGAGAAGCTGACAAAAGGGAACTGACGCCTATGCTTTCACCTAATATCAGCGTATCGCCCGTGATAACCCCTGTAATACTCCCCTCCCTTATTTCTTCCCTACATATCCCCTTTAAGGAGTTTAGGCTACGTACAGCTCAATTCATAGCTGCGGGTACAGATGGGCTGAAACAGTCGCAGTCAAGGGCAGGCTCCAGGTTTGTATGTAGTGGATGTAGCTGCTATTTCATATTATAAGCCCATTATACCCTAAACCCTAAACTCTGCGCTCTAACCTTTTACCCTAGACTCTAAGCCCTAAACCACTATGCTATCCCCGCTTTTCCATGTTCTTTTGCATTTGGTTCTCCATTGTTGGGGACAAAACCCCCGGAATCCTAAACTCTAAATCTTAGATGGTAGCTTTCTTTTTTTTTGATTATCCACCAGAACCCTATGATAATACAGAAGCTTCCATGTTCTTTTCCATTATTCCCTATACTCCATGTGATTCTGGCTCCGCGCTCGGCTCCCCGACTCAAACTCTTTTGTTTCTATGCTGCGATTCCGGCGAGTCTGCACTCTACTGCATGAATCGAAATGGGGCGTAACGGCTTTAGCAAGGATACTTCTCTGAACACGAATTCTTTACTGGAGGCTACTACTGCATGTGGGAATTCACTCTAGGCAAGCACACTCTCACCTCAAACTGTGTTGGGTTGCTCTTTGTGGCCCGCTTCTGGGGTCTAAACTTACATTCTTCCTCAAGCTGAAAACACTCTGCTGCATACCCGTTTTACAAGTACTAACCAATATGGCGGGACTTGTATGTCCTGAAGTGTAAATGGGGGACCTTAAACTTCTACACCTAAACCTGAAGCTTAAACCCTGAAGATTAAACCCTAAACCCTACTTCTTGAGGCCTAAGCCGTAATGACTTGATAGCTTAAGAGTCATCCACTTGGGCCCAAACGGCTCGGCTCTTTACTGAGCGCGCCGCATGGCCAAGCATGAAACTGTACGATGAAGGATGGAAAAACCTTTGCACAGTTCAAGGACGTCGGGTAAAGCAGCAGCCGTAAGAGATTGTAAAAATCTGGGTTCGGGGCGGAAACTACGACGTAAGTCTCAAACACGGTGTGGGGACTGTTGATAGGACCTAACTGACTTCCTGTTGGAAAGTTTGGTTTCGACCTTTCTTCAAAGGCTTGAATGCGTTCCCTAAAAAAGAGAGCTGTCCAATCAGAAGGCAAAACTACAGCAGAAGCACCTTGTCGAAAACCAACCACCCCCAAAAGGCTCCACGAGTAGCTGTTTCTAATCATATATTACTAATTCCGATTTTCTTCTCCATTATCCCTATGTAACCCCTATATTACTTCTAATACCACAATAAATGGTCCGATGACCACAATGTGAAGACCTCCAAACCTTGCAAGCATGAGACGTCCAAGCCTGCAAATGTGAAGGCGACCCAGAGAACTCGGGCTAGGCCACCATTCTACCCAGGGTTGCATATGGATTCTCTAGGGTTGTATAGGGCTTACACAGGGAGCATGGAAAAGAACATGGAAACTACTATTTAGGGATTTGGGGATATTACCCCGACAATGGGGAATCAAAGGGAAAAGAAAGCGCAAAATGAAACGGAAACAGGGGTTTACATAGGGGACCGAAGAAAGTCACGGCTCCGAAGTGGCACCCCAAAGCGATGGAATTGTGATCTCCGAATTCACGATTTTCCCGAAGTCCTATAACACTCCGCATGCTACTCAAGGCAACTCCGCAGATTACAGACAAGTTTTCCCCAGAGAGGTAAGATGCAATGTTACCCTCCCCCAAACATATAGCTTCGCTTGCAGTACGCTTTAAACCCCACATATCAATAAAGCCCCTAACATCTAAGAAGAGATCCTTTTGCATGCCAGACATGTAAAAAATGAGAGACTCACTGAGATTCATAGACCACTTTGCTCGGTCACGCTTTAATTCTTAAGTCACGTGTTTTCTCTGAGCGAAAACTTTATCCTGCTATGCAAGCTGTAGCTCCACGTGACAGGTGATGTTTCAGGTGCTGGAACCAAGAAGGATAAAGAAAAAACAAAATCTAGAGGTCCTTAACATAGTGGAACCTTACTGTATCTTAGTCTTTGTCATCTTCCCCATGATCCATTTCAAGATCCTGACTCTCTTGGGCACTTCGCCGTTTACCTGCTGTGGCACTTAAAACCACCAACAACGCGGTAATTCCAAGCTTGTTTGCCATTCCCTCACAATCTCGGCCTTTCTTCTGCAGATTCCATATAATTGTCGATTTTCCCTTCCAATTACTGCTCCACTACCTTTGGTCCACAAGCCGCACTAACACCCCAAATCATAAACCCTAAAAAGAGAGGGCAAGTGCGCTGCTGAACCGCCTGGCGTCTGCTTTTGAAGCCAAAGGCCTTCTCATAAGCTGCAAGGGAATACGCAGCCCCGATCATGACTCCTCGTTGCTCCAGATTGGCTTTGTCAAAGAGCCTGCAAGCCGCATGAAAAACAACTTTCGTTGTACTCAGCTCCCTCCTCGCAGGCTTATATGGCTCTATGCCCTCACGCCTGTCTGTCCTCAAGCAGCGATGGTAGCATTGGCGCCGCCATACTTCTCGTAAAGCATGTTCCACTCTTTGCCGCCCTGCTTCGTCAATAACATGGTCAAAATCAAAGTGGCAGGACCGGATAGCTACCTCCCCCTTAAAGCGAAAGCCAAGCCGTGGGAACCTCTCGTTAAAACGCGCCCACCATTGGCCTTGCCGTAAGGAATTGCCCTGAGCTAGCTTGCATTCTTCCCTACTCTTAACAAACAACTCTGTATATCTTTATGTGTCTCTACGAAAGTATACATATGCATATACGGCTTCCTGAACGCCCCTATATATGATCCTTCGTCTATAGCTGCGTACACACCTACATGCATGGATCCATCTGTATCCCCGCCTATCCCTACATCTCCCTAAACCCTGAACCCTAAACCATAAACCCTAAAGCCATAAGTCTGGGCACCTGGCTCTTTCTCAGGCTACAGCATCTGCTCGAGGATTCAAGGCCAAACCCCCAGCTTGGGACACTTGGCCTGCGAAGGGTTTTGTGTTTTGGGTTTAAGGGCTTGGGGTTTAGGTTTTAGGGGCTTGGGGTTCAGCAGGGTTTAAGGTGAGTGGTTTTGGGGCCTAGGCTCAAGGGTTTAGAGTCCCTAGCAAAGAAACAACAAATTGAATGGAGAGAGTCTTAATCCTAGTAGTATCCCAACTTGCAATTTTGGTATGATAGGCCTTTAGTTAGGGCATGTTTGAGGCCTGTAACGTGAAAACGGAACTCCTGGGCAGAGAACCCTGAATAAACTCGCAAGATTGGCGAAGCTGATTCATGTTTCTTCCAGCCAGTACCTCTGCCTGTGGGACTTTTGGACTAGAGTTTACGGGTTCTGGTTTTGGCCGTGAGGTGTCTGCAAAGGGCCTCTGGCAAGATTGTGCGCAAGACCAGCTTTCTTGGAAATTCGGTTCGAGTCGGGTGTCAGCCATTCACGAGAACGTTGAGCGGAGTCGCTTTTGGTTGTTGGCAGAGCAACCTTCCGCAAGACGTCGGACTTCCGGATTCTAAAAAATACTGAAAGTGTTGCGGCTGCCACGCCTGCTGCTAGCAGCAGATCTATCCGTACGTATAGACTTCAACAAGTCCTGTAGGCCCAAGCCTGGCAGCCGTGAAACCATTCCCTGTTGCATTCAAAAGAAGTCTTACGTGTTGCGCGCATTCCATACAACACATGTTTTCAAAGGCGGCATCTTCGTGAATTGTGCATGGTAATCCTCAAAGAAATCCATTGTCGATAGCAATCCTTGTACAACAAAGCTTCTCAGGTTCGCTGGACAGAGTCCCGATCCAAGTAAGACATGACACCCCATGTTGATACGACTGTCATATAGCAGGGGATTGAGACATTTCTGGGATTTGCCGAACTCGTTTTACAATGGGTGAATGGATGATGGAACTGCATTCGCGCAGGATCCCCAAAACCCAGTCACATCCTACTGACTTGATCCAAGTTGAAATGCCAAAGGGTTTTTCCTGTGGGACCGATGCTTTTAAAGAATTCAGCCTCTTCGCTAGGCTGGGACCGAGCAGCAGGCGCTCACCAGCTAGTCTGTTCGCGGTACCCTATACTATACTGATAAAGGAACGATATACCAACAAAAACTTGGAGAACTATCTTACAGGCTCTTCAGGCTTCTTCGCGCTAAGGTGGGCCTGATGCGCTCCCGCCTTGCCAGTACGAGGTGCCCAAGCATCTCAGAACACAAAGCTGTCAGAGTGCATGCTAAACTTCGGTCGAATTGCCGGCACCCCAGGATCGGACTGCCTAAAAGCCTCAACGATCGTAGAAACCTGACTGAGTACAAACGACTGTTTACAGAATTTTCAGGCATCTGTCATAAAAGCGGTATATATTGGGGTTATATGGGGAGAATGGACGATAAAATGGAAACGACAATAGTAAAATAGGGTATATCTAAAACTCCGGTTCCCATGTCTAAGCCGGTAAGGTGCACCCCTGTTTCGGGAGATGCCAAAACAATGCTTGCCCAATTGCCAATGGTACAGAAGAACAAACCCCTAAACCCTACTCCCTAAGCCGTAAAGCCCTAGAACCCTAAACCCCAAACCCCAAACCTGGGTTGGAAGATCGAGGCCAAACTAACAGCAAATGCCCCAAATTCATTTCGGGTTTTCCCAAAATTGGGATACTTTTAAAGGGGGACATGGAAGTTATATGGGATATAGGGATATGTAGGGTTTAGGCTTTAAATGGGTTTCCCAAAGTTAGGGGGTACCTTACTATAATAAGGACTGTAGCAGTTGGGTGTCCATATTGGGGTTCCCCTGTTTATGGCAACTACCATTCTGATGAGTCAGGTTTCTACACTACTGGGTCGGGGCCCAAAATCACGGTCCCTTGCTGCAGGTATTCTATATTAAGAATTCACATAGTCAGGGACCTCGCTTTTGGACTTGCCCAACTCTTTCTAAGGCTGGCTGGTGGACTTTGTCCGACAAGCCTTGTCGTGCGCACCGCGCGCGCGAGGAGCCGTGAGACTTCATTATCAAGCTCAGGGGAGGAAGAGGGTAGTGGCCCTGAACTTCAGTATATTATAGTTCTAGGGATATGTAACGTAAGGTTCATATCAGGATTCTATAAAGGGGGTATATAGGTTTGGGCGTAGGATAGAGGGTCGGGGCGGCTTAGGGGGTCTGGGTGTCAGAAAGCGATCCCTTCTTCGGGAGTCTTGCAAAAATTGGGGGACGGAGATTAAGCCCCTATTTATGCCGTGTAAATCTTATGTTTCCCTACAATGTCGTTATATAATCCCAGTGTATCCCTCATATCACCCTTTCCTTACTTCCCCCACCCGCCATGATTGCATAATCCCTCCCAACTCCCGATTTACGAGGAGCCTGAGCTCCTCTTTAGACTTACTGGTGCCTAACGGAAAGCGGGGGAATGCATCCCTATAATAATTCCTATGTAATCCCCAAACAAACCCCAATCATGGTGCCCGTATTCACTTCCCCACTCCCTAAACCCTAAGCAGGCGTTCTCATCCAGCCAGGAATGCGATTACTTACTTATGCCGAAAGGATGTCCGGTAGAATCTACATAGAATCAATCTAAACCTTCTGCTCTTCAGGAGCACCAAGTCATCCCCATCTCCGCTTTGATTTTGGGGCCGCAGCAGACACCAGGGCAGCAACGACCAGCTGGAGGGAGATTGTCTTTAGGATCCTTTTCTCTTACCTACCCGCTCGTTAGTAACACGGAATTACGAAATCCAAAACAAAGGTTGATGGTGCATGCCTGTGCCCAAAATTGTCCCATACAAAGAGAGCAGCGCTGGCTCTCCACTCGTCCCCTAATAACAACAGTTCAGGACATTCCTCCTGATTCAGACTAACACCCAAAACAACGAGTGCCTCATGCCCTGCTGTTAACACACGAAAGCACACCCAC